CCGGCTTCACATGTTGCAGGGTACCTGATAGGGGGTTCCTGTTCCCGCCTTTTTGCGATTCTCGCTGGTCAAGCGGCTTGCGCGTTCGCTCGGCCTTTCTTCCAACATCGTCCCGCCTTCTTCATCGTCCAGCTTCGACGCCCAACAAGGGACAAGGGTGATGGCAATTCCCGGGGCAACAGGACAGGATCCCTGCCATCTCTTTCTGATGGTTTGCCTTTGAACCAAAATTTTATGTGTGTATTGCGGTCCCCCAGTCCCGCGGCGGGTCCAGGCTTGGGTTGTCAGCCCAGGCTCCTCCGATAGTCGAGTGACAAGGCCTCTGAGTGCCAGGCACAGCGTGACAGCGGAGCGAGCACACATCCAGCTGAGTGCCGCATGGCAAGTGGCACTGGGGTCGGTGCCGAAAAAAGTCTTTTTTAACCAGCCGCAGGGGCTGGCCAATCGAATCACCTGAAGAAGTGGTGGAAGGAAGCCAATTTAGCTCATCGATTTTGCGTCCAAGCCACCCGTTGGAAAGCTGCCCTCCAAGGGACCATCGATTTGATTTAAAAGGGCCTGTTTCCACATCCTTCCCCAGTTAATGCCGCTCTCTCGATCTTCCTGCTTTCTTTCCCCTTCAACCAGCGCTATCCCAGCACTCATCACACTCCTTTGCTTGTCGCTCCGGCTTCAGCCCCACGCTCCTTCACAGCACATCACAATTATCAGCGAGTGAGAATCCCGAGGATCTACCCTCTCCGTCCGTCCTTCGACACCTCCAACGTCAGCTTCGTCGAAACAGCTCAGCCCTACAACACGCACAGCGACAGCACCTTCACAAACAAACATTTTCACAATGCAGTTCAAGAGCATCCTCACCGTCTTGGCTACTGGCCTCTCTCTGGTTGCCGCTCAGGCCGACGCCGCCGACAGCACCATGACCTCCACGGCCACTATGACTTTGACTGTCACCATCACCTCCTGCAACCCCACCGTCTCCAACTGCCCCGGCAACGCTCCGGCTACCAGCACTAGCACCAGCACCAGCTCCATCGAGACTTCCAGTGTCGTCCTCACCACCTCATCGGTGGCTCCGGTCGAGACTAGCTCTTCTAGCTCGATTGTCGTCATCCCCAGCACCAGCTCTTCGTCTACACTATCCTGGTCCTTCCCTCAGGTCAACTCGACCACTCTTGCTGGTCCTACCGCCAGCCAGCCTCTCACCTCGGCTTTCATCACCCAGACCCAGAGCGCCGTTGTCACTGCCAGCCAGCCCGCTGGTCCTTCTTCCCCCGTTACCGCTGGTGCTGCCGGCTTTGCCGCCCAGTCTGGACTTTTGATGTCCGCCCTCGCCTTGGGCGCCGCTCTCTTGGCTTAAGTGTCGTGATCTCGCTCTGTGGCTGGGTCATGTACATACGAGCCATCTGTTGCATGATCATCATCACAACCACCATCATCTGCGTACCATTTATTGGAGCGTATTAACGACCGCATCCGAGTTTCTTTCTTTTCTGGTCCTACTTTTGATTTTCGATTCTGAATACTCACGGATGATACCCGTATCTTTCAATTCTCAAACAATGGGGGATGTTATGTGGCTTGGGGCTCTTTGATGGGGAATTAACCTCTTTGTTTGATACCACGAACCGGGCAAACTGATACAAGAAAAAGAAAAGAAATACCTTTCTGTAGTTTCTTTTATCCTCAGACACGTATTTGTTCATTGGGGCTACTGGTTGGCATATTCTTGGAAAGGTTTTAGAAAAAGGGAACTCGGCACCAAGGGCTTGTTGGTTTCGAGGAATCTATTAAGCCAACGGCATCGTGGGCGGGCAAAACATGGTATCTATAGAAAAAAGATTTTATGTCGCATACGATATGTGCCGCCGAAAATGGAATAGGATATACAAGTCACGAACTGAATGATTCTTACGTGTGGCCATGTTCCTCCCAACTGACGTAACTAGTCTCAGCCTCTTGTTTCATGTTTAGTTCAGCCTTATTATCGTGGAGCAAATACCGATGGACGATAGAATAGGCTTTTGAGACCTTGTCTCATTTCAGTCCGCCTATGCCATCATAAAATCAGTTCACTCAAGTACACTACTAGTGATAATCTCACTGACGTGGTGTAGGAAGAAGGCTGATCTCCGCCCACGAGATGGACACTAACGTCGTCGATCGTTCTTTCGTGTACCATAGTGTACACTACAGTCTTCACCCCTGCAGTTGCAAACCCCTCCCTCTTTCCATGCTAAAACCCTACGTATTGCACAACCAGTTGAGCGCCAGATATACAGGCCTGTACTGCGACAGCTAACTGCGTGTAGTTGCAGCAGTGACGGCCAGATCAATATTTGCATTACCAGGCGTCAAGTTATAGTGGGAGTGAACACTTATACCCCTGTATCGGGGCTCATTGACCTAGTCTACCTACTTTCCACTCTGGTCCGTCGACGATCCTCTATGTCTAGTGGCCTAAACGCCTACTTCGAGTCAATGCGCTGGATGTTTCTGCAAATACTCTCCTTAATCGCGATAGATTTTCGCTGCCAGAATTTTGAGTTCCATTAACACAAGAGTAAAGACTGTATGTTCGATCAGCCTCAGTGCGAATATTACCTAGGTACATACATACACGAACGCAAATTCCAATCCACAGTGGTAACTGAAGCCATCGCAAACCCAACAGCAACACACCCAACGTAGTCGCCGGTATGGTGTTGTTTTGTCTAGGGTGAGGACATGTATTGAGGAAACTTGATGGACTTTGGCGGCTCTCAAACTTCCTAATACGTAGTGCACTCTATCTCCCCTGGATCCCTCCGTCTTAGCAGTTTCCCTTGGCACAGTTTGCGCATAGGCTCTGAGTTCCTGGAACTACCGCCCTGCACCCGTGTGTCGCGTGGTGATCACAGGGCTTATCGGCCATGATGGAATTGATGATCTTTTGTTATCTATCTTCACTGTTAGCATCAGTCATTGCTATCTCTCCTGCCATGAAATGCGTACTTCCTCTCGGTATTTTCTGTGTTTTCCTTGGTGGTTGGCTGACTTCGCGCAAAGCATTTACTACTGTTTTCGAACTGTCGAACAGTGGAGGACGAAGGCTGTGAGAGGGGAGCGAGTGACTGAAGAGAGCGAGTGTGTGGCAGAGACAGTCAATATCGATGAGAAGGTTACCAGGACCTTCCTTATACCGACCTAATTACATCCCTACGAACAAGAGAGGAAGGGGTTTTTAAAACTTCTTATATTTTCTCCTTACCATCGATATCATCTACTTACTCCCCGTCTTTGACTCGGGTACGAGTAGGTACACCTATGACCTTGTCCAACATGGGTATGTAGCAACAAAGGGTACCGGCGATGTGGTTCGCTGACATACGCTAGCTGTTGTACCACGTTTCTTTGACTCTTGTTTTCTGTTCCTGTTGTTGCATGCTCGCAGGAACCGCATGTCTTATGATCAGTGGGAATGGAAGGTGTGACGGGTAAACAATTCTAGACTCCCGATTCGGTGACCCAGGATGACCCAAGGTGACGCAGGGTAGTGTTAGAATAGCTTTGACGTGCAGTCAAGGGGAATACTACCACTGCAATAGTTAATTTAGGTAAATGTTACTCCAAAAGTATAAATCTGAATGCCTCCGTTCTCTTCTGGATTGGACCCAGAGCACATACATAGTTAAGTGTGCTCTGCTGATGGGATGTTACATTCATCCATTCAACAAGGTTTAAAAGCGGTGTAGAAACTGTAGATATGGCCATTGACCAATAATTTTATCCTTACCTTGTCTTCCCGACCCCCCATGGCCATATGTCTTCCCGGGGTTTTGGCGCTATACACCATCCTTCACCGAACTTCAATCAATGAGTTATTATAGATGTCACTTTGATTTGGTCATATTCTGAGTACCTACTCACCGACACGAGCGACATGTCGAAACGCTGCAGCTGCGAGGTCATATCCCGATTTCATACCTCTATCTGAATGACTGATTCAAGTTCGGCACAACAGGTCGTTCCTTCCAAACACAGTCAATTTTAGTCGTCTTCCTACCTACCTTATCTATCACCCATTCCACCCACTTGAAACTTTACTTGACTTCATCTCTCGCTATGAACTTTTGCTTACCTACTGTTGTCAACTAGGTCTAATAGTATCCGCTAAACTCATGATGCACACCACCATATAAGCTAACAGGACATGAACTGGTGCCGGCCACGCCAAGCCATCGTTAACAGCGAAGAATACCTAGGCACTCTTATACACAGCGAACGGAGTGAATGATATACATTATCAAAAGCCAAACCCGAGCTTTCTGCTTCTTTGAAATCCTATCGAAAAACCCCTCGAGTTGTGGACTCTTAGCTGGATACCACCGCGTGCGGTATTTTTTTTTCGACAAATTTACCTAATGGTACGTTCAGTTTCGAGCTGTCAAGTAGATGTGAGGGGGTTTTATGTAGAAATTTGGCGAGGATGTTGATAGTCGGTTGAAACTGCGTAGGCAAGAACCCCTACCTCCTCTGGCTGAACGCCTTTCAGGCGACATGGTATCGGAAGCCGGGATGGCAAATTCTACTCGTTATTTCAAGTCCCCGCCATTCACTCATTTTCATGAGAGGAGACAATAAGAAGTGGTTTTTAAGAGTACCTAGATAAGAGCACGGGACTTGGTGCCGGCGTGTTAACGAAGGAGAGCCTTCAAACACCCATGGGTGGTCAATTGGAGTCACAACGACCGGTCAAATGGTCTTTTAGGGTTGATCCTCAGCACGAAGACATCAACGGTCGTCGATTACCGGTTGATATCGGAGAATGGTATGAGCCCAACATCGTATTATTTATTGATTCCATCCCCAGAAAGAATAACTTTCCACTCTACGTCACCCGCTGGGTAGTCGGTATCTCTCTTTCCGGGTACCAAAGTCCCCATTGCATGATCCTTTCTCCATGTCATCCACGTAATCTCTACCCCCTAAATCGTCATCATAATCGTTAACCACCCAATTTAAGGCTGGCTAGTCCCCTGAAAGTTGACGCTAGTACTCTTCTGGCCGGCAGCCGCCTTGTCAAGCTCAATGTTCTTGTTAAGCTTTTTGGTCTCCTCAGCGATCTTGGCCGAGTTGTCCTTGCCTCCCTTGGCCTGCTCGATCTGCATGGCGAGAGTGAAGAGCTTAAGCTTGAGGACCTTGTTCTTGATCTTGCCAACCTGGAGCGCCGCGCCGGCCGTGGTCTTGGTGCCGCCGGCGGCCTTGATAGCCTCATTGAAGCCGCCAGCCTTGGTCTCAGCGTCTTCGGCTGTCTGGCGCGCGGCTTTGATAATGGCCAGGTCGGCGGCGGAGACGGAGGCCAGGTTGTTTTCGTCGACCTGTTTGTGGGAACTGTTAGCTGCGTGTTGTGGGAGGGAAAAAGCAAGATGTGAGGAATGACTTGCGGGAAACTTGGCCTGGACTTCGGCCAGGGCGTTACCGCCAACGCCGCTGGAGACTGAGAACTGGGAGTAGCTTTGGGCAGAAAGTGCTCGCTTGCTTAAGCCCCGAGTGTCAACATCGCAGGGCGCAGCGAGGGCGGAGGTAAGGAGAGTGAAGACAAAGGCGAACTTGAATTGCATCTTGACTGGTGAAAAAAAATTGTGGAGCGTAGAGGTGATATAGATATGGAAAGGGAATGGAACGTAGAGAATGAAGAAGATATAACTAAAAGACAGCACAGCTGTAAGTCAGAAAGAGAATGTTATTTTGAGTGAAGAGCTTTGAATTAGAATGGAATGGGAATGAAGGAAACAAATCGGTCATTCTCTTGCAGGATGGTCTGGCATCTTAAAGAGCGTGTTGATGACCGCCTTGGTTGCAACACGTTCATCCGCTTGAAGCACTACCCGGCCATTATCATCTAGGTACCTTTGATTCCCAGTTTCAACTGAAAGCCTCCTCGATTTTAACATATGCCTGCCCCTCGAACCATTTTCCGCGGAATGGCACTCATGGTTCGTAGTCGTCACATATGTCATGGTAAACCTCGTAAAGAGCCTTTCCAAGGGAGGATGTCAGGGGAGGGTTAAGGTGAAGGAAAGATCCGGTGCGTTTTCCTGGGTACTTGTTTCATTCGCAGTCAGCGGTCTTCCTATGGTCCCAGCTACACTTTATCGGCCTGATGATATCGGTACTGAGCGGGCGGTTAGAGTTGCCATCTGGGTAACTTTGGACATGGTTGCCCAGTTGTGAAAGCCGACGATTACCCCTTGACGATGCCAAGCAATGTCTCGACAATGTCGCACCTTTTCTAAACTCCCTCTGATGCACCTACGCGAACGACTGCCTCATACCCCTGCGTTATGGGGGTGTTGTTGACCCCTTCGGTTGCGTTCCAGATTGCCTTGTAGGGTAGGATTGAACTGCTCCAGCTTGGACGTACATCTAAATAGTAAAGGGCAAAACCAAAGCCGATTCGAATCCGTCATGGTGCTCCCTGGTCTCTGGATTTTCTCATGGGATTGTTTGTAAGTAATCCCCTGGTCCCTCGTAGTTGACGGCGGTTGCCCAAACATTGATCAATCTGACCGAGAAACACGAACAAAGCAGGTTCCAGTCCATGACACCTGTTTTACTCGCGATCATCCCAGAAAGAGCATGATAGATTTCAGACAGACAGCTTTTCTATCGCATAGTTAATGATCATAGCGGATCACATAGATGAAGTGTAAGAGGGTAGTGGTGATGCAAGCGAGGAAAATGACAAAGTAATTAGGAGGAAGGATTGAGCCATGAGCCAAAACCTTGACGGAACGCGCTCCGATAAAAGAGGAACCCTGATCGATTGCCAGGCTGATTCAGTAGTGTATTTGCATTTGAACCACGTGTCGAACATCTAGACCACGAAAACGGAGGAGCCGGGTGATGTAGAGAAAGAAAGAAATAAGGAAAGAATCTTTGGGTGGAAATGCATTTCCGCCCATGCTGTCCGACGAGCCTCGGCACTTCATATCCAACCCCAACTTTACCCCAACTTCTCGGGGTTGCTAAATCCATCCAATAACCTCTTACTGCAAGAAGCCCGCTGATATCCGATTCGATAACATGGCATCTTGCTTGGAGCGACCAAATGCTCTACGAAAGAGGAAAGCATTTCAAAAATGTCAGATAGCCAGTCCGTAATATCCTACATACCTTTTTGATTTAGTCGACTGCAGCTTGGTTTCGCTATTGGTTCCCAAGCCCGGCCCGGCCACCCATCTATCCAGCTGCATCTATCTGAGTGAACCCAGCGGCAAGATCCGAATTCATTGTGCCTTTTTAAAATAGATCCATCCCTTCCTTTCTTGGGGAAATATCGATTGAGGTCCTTCCGTCTGATCTGAACCTTTCGACACCAAGCAAATAGCCACTTACACTCTTCTCCCTTTATTTGTAACAATTAAAGTGAAAACCTCATCTCGTCGTGTCGCCCCTCACTACCCATCAAGTCCCAGCTAGCCGATCACGATGCCTTTCAATTCACCCTTCAAGGATTTGGACATCCCCACTAACATTGACGTTTGGTCTCTCGTGTTTGACCAGCAGAATGTTCCCTTCCCGACCTCCAAGAGGGCGATGACATGCGCCGAAAACACCACGCTTTCGCACACATGGGACCATATAAAGGCGGCGTCTGTCGACTTTGGCAAAGGCATGAAGGATATTTGGCGTTGGAGGAAGGGTGAAGTTCTCGCCTTGTATACGCCAAATAGCATTGATGTAAGCCGTTGCCGGTACTCTATTTTCTTCCCTCGCGTCTAGGAAGAAAAGAAAAAGAAAGAGAAGGAAAAGAAGGCTTGCTAACATCAGCTCGCAACCGCCAAGACCCCAATCGTCACTCTCGGCGCCATCTGGGCCGGCGCCGTCGTCTCGCCCGCCAACCCGCTCTACACCGTCGAAGAACTCACCTTTCAACTCAAAGACTCGGGCGCCAAAGCTATCGTCACGCAAGCCCCCTTCCTCAAGACGGCTGTCGAAGCGGCAAAGAAGGCCGGCATCCCCAACGACCGCATCGTTCTGGTCGGCCAGCAGAGCGACCCTTCGGGAAAGTTCAAGCATTTCCGCAGTATCAGATGCGTTGACTTCCCCACCCGCTTCAGGAAGACCAAAATCAACCCGGAGAAGGACCTCGTTTTTTTAGTCTACAGCTCCGGCACGACGGGCTTGCCCAAGGGCGTGTGCTTGACGCATCTGAACGTTGTGTCCAACATCTTGCAGATGGCCGATGTTGATGGGCGATATTGGTCTGCGACTGGCGGGCTGGATGGTGAAGGTGATAAATTCTTGGGCGTGCTGCCGTTTTTCCACATCTATGTGAGTTCTCTCTCTCTCCGTCGAGTCTTGATCCCGAAAACCAAATTGGATCTAACCCAATGTAACAACAACTATTACAGGGTCTCACCTGCGCCCTGTTCATGTGTCTCTACCTTGGCTGGGAGATGTTCGTCGTCGAGCGCTTCGACCTGGAACAGGCCCTACAAACGATCCAAGACCAGCGCATCACCGCCTTCTACGTCTCTCCTCCGATCGTGCTGGCCTTCGGCAAGAGCCCGCTGGTGGACAAGTACGATCTCAGCACCCTTAAAGTCATGCACTCGGGCGCCGCACCGCTGACGAGCGAGCTCACCGAGGCCGTGTGGCAGCGTCTCAAGATCCCGGTCAAGCAAGGCTACGGGCTGAGCGAGTCCAGTCCCGTGGTGACTTGCCAGACTGTGGATGAGTGGGCCAAGTTCATGGGTTCTTGCGGCAAGATGATGCCGAATATGGAGGCGAAGCTGGTGGACGAGGAGGGCAGGGAGGTTGCCGATGGTGAGGTGTGTACTTTTGTCCTGACATACCTTTACTGATAAGATGACGTGAAATTAACCTGGTATAACTGACAATGTTGGATAGGTTGGCGAGCTGTGGATCAAGGGACCTAATGTGTTCAAGGGTTACTATAAGAATCCAGAGCGCACAAAGGAGGCCTTTTCAGAAGATGGCTACTTCAAGACCGGAGACATGTTCCACATCGATAAGCACGGCAACATGTACTGCGTGGATCGTCTCAAGGAATTGATCAAGTATAGTAAGTCGTTCCTTCTTCTCACCCGGTACGTGACCGAACAGACGTGGACTGATCACTGATTTTATTTTTCTCCCAGAGGGCTTCCCCGTCCCACCAGCCGAACTCGAAGGTCTCATCCTAGGCCACAGTGATGTAACGGATGTCTGCGTTATTGGTGTCGATGACCGCAGTCAGGCTACCGAAGTGCCTCGGGCGTACGTCGTTCTCAGGCCAGGCATCGAAGCCAGCGATAACAAGGCGCAGGAGATCATGGAATACGTCGCAAAGCAAGTTGCTCCTCATAAGAAGCTCCGCGGAGGTGTTCGATTTGTTGCAGAGGTGCCCAAGTCGCCTAGTGGAAAGATTCTTCGAAGGATGCTGAGAGACAAAGTGAAGCAGGAGGAGCGTGCTGCGGGATCAAAGCTCTAAAAAGGATGTAGTTGAGATATGTTTGTTGAGAAGATCGATTTTTGAGTACCGTACATATGTAGAATCTGCCCTGTCCTGGCTTCGGGTTGATGTAATGTCGATGCCTACGTGAAAGATATGTCAGTAGGTAGGTTTTTGTATACTGTACTGCCAACCCAGAGGCGGGTATCTGAAGCCTTCTATTCGTACCAGGAGGCGCACGCTCTTACAATGCGCTCACCCACAATATCATACACGATGGTACCTGAACACTTACAACGAACGGCCTGTTGCCCATTTACCGCACCATCCCATCCAACCATCATCTAACCCATTCTCTCCGCCTCCTCCATAAGCTTCTCCACGCTAAACCTCTGGTCACCACTTGCGAACCAATCCAACAGATTCCTGCGCTCGTTCGCCCTCTGCTGGCCCTGCTCACCACCAGTACCATCCCAACCGCCGTAGAACCTCTGAAGGCACATGAGCAACCACTGCGCATCCTCGGGCTTGACGCCTCTATCCTCCATGACCTGGCCCTGCATCAGCACGACGCCCTTGTCGACGCTAAAGTCCATGTAGTGCGTGACTGTCGTGTGCGGCTGCGCAAACTCGCCGCGGTTCTTGTACTCGGCCAGCTGCGTGAACAGCACCGTCGACGTCGCCGTCGCCGCGTCCCAGGTCCATTGCAGGAAATGGATCTCCGCGCCCTGTTCCGGGTGCGGCACAGGAAGCACGAACTGGGGGCGCGAGCGCGCCAGCGTGTCCATGGCTGAGTAGGTCTCTGACGGGATGACGGCGCACAGAGAGTGTGGATTGGTGGCGTAGCGCAGACGCCAGATGGCGGAGAGTTCCTTGATGGGTAAGTCGCGGGCCTTGGTCATATCGAGGATCTCGGATAGCGGTTTGATACCGGAGCCGGAGCCGGAGCCGGAGCCTGAATATACTGGTTTCTTCGGCGTTTCTGGCGTGGCATTGGAAGAAGGTTTGGCAGCTTCGGTTGTGGTTGTTGTGGTAGCATCCAACTCAGCAGCATCAGCAGCAGTGGGGGTAGCTGGAGCGGGAGCACCCGGTAGTTTAGTTGCAGCGTCGGTTTCCTTGCGCAGGCGCTCAATCTTGTCCTTGTATGCCTGTTTGAGAGCGTCGATATCAGGCAGGCCCTCCTCTTTGGCCTTGTTCTCCAACTTTTGGCGGTACTTCTCGATGACACTGCGCGGTTGCTGCGTCGTGGCGAGGAAGCGCACATCGTGAACTTGAGCCCATCGTCGTTGGTTGGAGGCGCGCAGCGTACGGACGTGAGAGCAAGGGTGTGCGAGATGCCGAAGCATGCCCGCAGTGCGAAGGGAGGCCATGGCGGTGGTTAATTCGCGGCAAATGGCAAGCTCTTTAGAGGAGTCTCGGTTCCGAGGTTCAGTTATAAGAGGAAAAGTTCACTGAAAAGTTGACGTCAAGTTAAAGCCGAAGATACTAGTATGTGACCCTAACCCTGGGATTTAGCTGCACCTTTCAGTGAAGCTGAGAGAATCACCACATAGGGCCATCACTCGCAATCAACTCAATCACGACGCCATGCTCGGGCGATACGCTGCCGCTGAGATGATCAACTGACTAGAGAAGTCAAATGGATACAACAGCTTTCCCAAACTTGACCTCCTTAGATAACCTCGCCCCCTTCATTCCCTCACTTGAGATGTAGGCCGTATGCAGTTTCTCCTAGGGTTCTAATTGTGCAGTGCACTTTCATTAGGGATAGTTGAGTTGACTCGCCTCGTGGAATCAGAAATCCAGAGGGGCCGTGATGTGAAGCGGTGCATAATGCTGTGCTTCACTAACTATCAAACCCCACAAGATTTTCAAAACCTCTCCCCACGCGTAAATCAAGGTATGCATACATACACTACATTATGGGGTTCCGGTAGGGCTGCGAGGCTGTGGGCTGCGAGTCAGGATTGCCAGGGTCCAAGTGGAAGATGGAGAATGCGGGGGAAGCTAATATGATTGCTTGGAATTGGACGGACCTCGTGTACGGGTTGTCGCTTGCCCAGGTCACCCATTCGTCACCATGGCCCACGATTTGCCTTCCCCGCTTCCTGTAGAGCCTGGGACCACAACGGGATGGTTTTCACCAATTGACTACCGATGAACCATCGACGGGACGATGGCGACTAGATCTGACCTATCCGTCCCCAAGGATCCAACCGATCGAGTCAACCTTGACTTTCAGCCCCTCCCCCCCCCTCTCTCCTCTCAAGCTGTATCGAAGGACACGTTGATATCTGAACTCAAGGATGACTTCAAAAAACAATCCTGTCGCTATTTGCGGCGCACCTTGATATGATTCTACTCCTCATCTCATTGAACAATTCACTCACAAATGGAGGATGAACGAAACGAGATCGCAAAAGAAAAAGGTATCGATATTAAGACACGAAATCTTGTCCTCGCTAACATCTAAAACACAAAACGCGCCTGTAAGTAACTCTCAAACCCATGAGGAAAAGGAAGTGAGTATGCCGAGATATGATATACACGAGGAGGTAGCTTGAAAGTCTATGCCCTTCCTCATCTGAACCCTCAACACTTTTTTCCAGAATCCTCTTTCTGCTGCAGGCTCATCATAACTGTTTCCCCATCCATCAAACATCTGGGCACGATCGTGATTGTATCGCTGACCCAATAATTCTTTCCAAGCGCTCCCCAAGACCAAGTCATGGTATGACTCGATTGCGCGTCTTCCTCTAGTCCGTCATGCTTGTGGCTAGGTGCTGGAAAAACTGACCTAAGCATTGACGGTCTTGAAGACCCAGCGCTCGGAGTTCTCGGCGAAAGGAACACCGAGCTCGAAGAGCTTGACAATGACATTGGAGAAGTCCTTGAAGAAGAGCTCGTTGTCGGCGGCGTACTTCTCCACCCATTGCTTGAACTTCTTGTCCTGGATGAGGGCCATATCGGCGGGGAGCATCATGAGGGACTTGGTCTTCTTGTCCTCGTACTGCTTGGGGCCGTTCCACTTCTTCCACTGCCACTTCTCGTCGAGGAGCAGCTTGTAATAATCGTTGGTCAGAACGGTGGGGGAGAAAGTCCAGGGGCCGTCAAAGCCGGAGCGATCTGCGTGGCAGCGGCCGAGAGCGTGAGCACCGGAAAGAGCAACGATCTCCTGATCGTTGAAGCCCATGCGGTAGAAGATGTTGCGGAGATGGTCCTGAGCCTGGGAGGCATCAGGAAGACGGCCATCGGGAGTGCAACCAGCAGCATCACGGTCCTGGCGACCTGGGCGGTAGGGGATCTGGGGGCCAAGCATCTCCTGGATGGCGCAAACACCGCCGAGGATCCAGAGATCGGAGTAGGTGATCCAAGGGAACTTGGCTGTTTAGGACGTCAGTAAGTTGAAATCCCACAATTCAAGAATGGTGGCAGCTTACCCTTGACAGGCTCGAGGAAGTCACGAGCAGCCTTCAGGCCGGCGTTGGCACCATGGTCAGACTCGGGAGCGAAGCGCATGGTAGCACCGTTGGAGCCACCAGTGCCGGTCTCCTTGTCATAGGTGCCGCTGGCGTGCCACGCGAGACGGACGAGGACGGGGCCGTAGCTGCCGTCGTCGTAGTCATCCTTCTCCTCGAGGCGAGAGGCAATCTCATTGTAAACGGCCTGGTAGTCGTCGAACTTGGGAGCGAAAACCTTGGGGGTGGCGGAAGCGCCGTCCTGGTTGAGATACCACAGACCGCCGGCACCGAGAGCACCGGCACCGATAGCCCAAGCCCAGATGTTGGAGCCACCGGACTTGGCAGGCTCAGAAGAGTAAAGACGACGACCACCCTGGCGGAAAGCAGCGCGGGGCGCGGCAGTGAGCGCAGGACGAGTCGAGGTGCGCAGAGCGCGGAGAGTGCGGGTGGCAGTGCGGGAGGCGGCCATCTATGCGGAAGGAGACCAGTTAGCATCATCGTCGCTCTCGATATTTATCATGGCGAGTCCCTCTATGTTGTTTAAGATGGGAAGAGATCGCGCATCACTTGGCGTCACCGAAGCTCGACAGTGTCCGAACTAGAAGCGACGAGCAGACGGCTGAGAACTGACGGGAACCAGGAGACCAACGTCTTGTGGAGGAAAGGTCACTTTGATGCGTACCTTCAAGTTGTTGATTCTCAAAAGTAGCGAGGACGATGAAGAGGAGGAAATTGGGAGAAGGATGAGAGCAGAGCAGCAGCGACTGACAACAACGAGGGGAAGAAAAAGAGGGAAAGGAAGGAAGCAAGGACGATATACACAGAGCACTAGTCTACATCTATCAAATCGGAGGATCAGGCAGGCGGGATCATGGTGCAATTGTATCCTTCGTCCTCTAGCTCGGCTGTTGCCCCGGAAAGACGAGGCCCGGGGCCACCCCGGTGGGGTTGTGGTCTCGACATGCCGCACGAGTTCCAGCGCAGCAAAACGACTGTGGAATCATATCGAAAAAAAATCAATCGCGTGCGCGTTGAGTGGCCAGTTCGCCTATGTCTCTTCCGGGGACCCCGTTCAGGCCGTTCCATCCCGTCTAGGCGCGGCTGTAGGCCATTTCTAAGCCCTTCCTACACCACTGTGGTTGCCATAGAATCCTAGGGGGGATTTGAGTCCCGTAGTTCCCCATTGGACCCCGAGAGGGAAACCCGCCGCAGACCCAACAATGCCGGCTATATCCCGGGGTTTGTCACCAGGTCTGAGCACACTCGAGACGACCAGAGGCGCAACTGCTGACTAACTGAGGACAGTGACATCGCAACGAAACAATTGTCAATGGCGTTTTAGAAGAACGTGCTCAAAAGCCAAGAGATATTGCGGAGCTATATCGGCGTCCGACACCGGTCTCGACAGTCACAGCTTACGTATGACTCTAGTCAACATAGATGGCAACCCTGTGACAGAATTTTGCCTTCGGACGAACGACGGTACCGTAGTGAAGTTGCGATGACTCTGACAGCAACGATTTATTACCTGGATACTGTGGTACAGATACCGTTGGTACCATGGCCAGAAATGGCGGACATTGTGCACCTGGCACATGTCGAAATCCAGCCGCGACGCTGTCTCCCGTCATAATTGGCCCCTGGGGCTCTTCCGGTTCGGTTGTCCTAAAACAAAACCCCTCCACAACTATTGTCCGCTGTAAAATGGGGTATTGGGGGCGCGATCAGTGCTTCTGGAAAAGCAAACCAACCCACTACACTACGGTGATTACCTCTACTTGTACAAGCACCCTATGCAACTTCATCTGGATGTAATGCAGAGAAATCTCGTGCGCGAAACATTTTACTATGTAAGTGCCTGCTAACTACTAATTGCAAGCCGTCTAGCCGGTCCGCAATACACACTTACAGCTAACAGTGGCCTGACAGAGAGTTCTGGCCCCCCCTGTCACCTCTTATCAAAGCTGTCACTGGCTGTCAGAACCCCTTATCGACTGCGTGGTAAAGAGTGGAGTCTCTTCCCCCTCCCCCACCTCAAATTGCAAAACTACCATGTAGTGTAGTGCAAGTCAAATGGCTTGGCGGGATTGCATAAACAGGGATACTGGTAACCCTGTAATTAGCGATTAGAGGTATAACGATATTCTGTCTATAACGTTCAGATTATGGGGAACAGTGCAGATTTGTATGGCAATAATATAGTAATAACGATCAACCTCTGATTTACGATTTAGATCAAGATTATTGCTGACTAATACACCAAAATCGTTATTTTTACAACCGTCTAACAGCTCCCGCCAGCTCCCAACATCTACTAATAGGAGTATTAACCCCTTAACAGCCGACACATTTTACCCTCTAGAAGTTAATATTAGCTAGCATACCCCGCCCAACCGTTTCGTCCCTCTTATTAATTTACTTAAATTACTATATTTTAAAATTATTTGTTTACTCTTACGATTAGAAACGAGCCCTCTTTTATATTAGATTTTAAAATTAATATTATACTTATTTAAAAAAATTACTATTATTACCCTATTAATAAACTTCAATATTAGAAGATTTGCGCGTTTATTTACGATAATCTTAAATATACTTAATGTAAGGTTATTGTATAGGCTATTAAAGAATTGGACTACCCCGTTAACCAATTTACTATATCCGAATCCCTAAAGCCTAAATTCGTTTATTTAAATAAGAAGGTATTTATAAGGGGTATTATTAGTATTTTTAAAATTTATTCAACGGACTTCCCTGTCCTTGAGAAGGCTTTATTTAAGTAGGTTATTCGAATAGAGAATAACTAATTTCCTATTTCTAGCGATATAATTAAAGAAGCGGCTAAATCTTTATAGTTTAAGATGTTTAATTTCCGGTTCCTTGTTGTACTCTTTTTTTTTAATAATTAGTTCGACGGATTTAAACGCTACTATTATATTAAAAAGTATAAGTAGTCCGGTAAAAGTAGATCGGCTAATATTGCGGGGTTCTAAGAGAGGATTGAGGAAATTAAAAAGTTAATTGAATAATATAGTTCTAATAATACGTATAATACTAATGAGATCATTCTCTTCTAATTAATGACTCCCAACATTATATTAGCTACTAAATTATAAGTAGAATTAAAAAAAAGAAGGAAAGAATTACTATACTCCCTTATATTAATATAACGGGTATATACAAATTTAATTTATAGGTTCTAGGTAATATAAAGAACCCTCGTTTATTCGGTAAAAATAGAAGGTTTATTAATAATTTCCCTATTGTATAGCGGAGTAATAAGAAGGTATAGATGATTACTCTAATATTTATAGAGTTTTGTTATAGGGTTAGCCTGTGTGCCTTATGCCTAGTGCCAGCGTACAGCAGCTTCCAAGACTGCCGTACGCTATTATTACCGCCGGCAAACCGACTATTACTAGCAGCTAATTAGTTAGAACGCTGCCCGCCGCGGGTTTGTTAGACCCGCCGGCGGTTACCTTCATAAGGCCAGCCTTCTAAACACTCGGCTACACTTCTCTTCCTTTCTCCTTCGTACAATTACGTATAATTACATTTACTACCTACCCTTTGCCCGTAATAATTAATAACACCTTTTAACTATTATATTTATAGCACAAATCTATTTTCTTTTATTATATTATTAATTCTCAATTAGCGCGCGTACAAAAATCGCCTCACTCGTCGAATCGCCGAATCTAATACCCTAAATACCGACAATCGTAAATTACAATAATTATAATTATAATTTCACTCCCTTTATTTAATAAATAAAGGTAAATACTCTTTATTTAAAAAATAAAAAACCGCTTCGTATAATTACCTTTCTTATATCTTACAATAAGAGCAGCGATTATACGTCCTTCTCTCCTATTAATAGTACTAATAATTTTATTAACCTTAGTACTCCTCCTAGGAATATACTATTTAATTTAAATAATATTTATAAAGTATTTAATAAAATTATTAGTATTACCAATATTGTAATTTATTAAGTTGCACTCGTTAAACTCCTTCCTTCAATAGTAATTAATAACCTTCTTATTGGTATTAGCAACGACGAGGAGAAGAAAACCATCCTTCGCGCCTACCTCGATACAACTAATATTATTACTTAAAACTCTACTTTCTAATTAATTATTACCCCGCTCGGTTACTTTTATTACAACAACCTTACTTAGTACGAAGATATTACTATCAATTTTAAACGTAGCGAAGATAAATTAAAGATTATTTGTAAAATAATTACTAAAGCCTAAAATAATTTTAATTAGAAGAACCTTAACTATTTCAATTTAATAATCGAATTTAACGACTTTTAAAAGAAATACAATAACCTCAACATAGATTACGCCGCCCTTAAATTTTATAATACTAATATCCGGTCCTTATTCAATAACTTTAATAAAATTATTAGTATTAATACTAGTAAAATATTATTTTTAAAGTAAATTATAGAAAATCCGCCGATCTTTACTAATAAGGAGAATATTAGTACGGCCCGCAAATACGAAATTTTTAAGGTATAGCATTTCTGTATTTTATCTTAATAGAAGTACGACCTTTTCTTTTATATTAATAAAGATATTAAAATTATTTATATTATTATACTATTAGGTCTTAAAATTTTATTTAATATTTAGAATAATTTAAATATTATTTAAAATAGAGGAAATATAGATTCTTAGTATTAAAAGACCGGTATCGAATTTATAGAGTATTTAATTATTTATTTCTAAAATATTAATTTAAAGATAAACGTTGGCTATCGTTTCGAAGAATTCTTTATAAAGAATATATTTTTTATAGAATTTAAGTTAGAACTTACTAATCTAATAAACCTCTACGACCTTAATAATTCTATAAAGGTTTACTACTTATATAATAAAATTAATAAGTACTTCCGCAATACCCTTATATATTACGACTTTCCTAAGGCCAACGATTTTAAAAAGTAGCTCGCAATCTACTATATTATCGTAAATAATCTAGAAGATACTAACCACCGCTATAAGATAAATACTCGTCTTTTCAATAATAACGCCCCCACCGCTTATAGAAGTTCCAATAATAATATTAATATAAGTAGTACCTCTAATTCCTATAATACTAATAATATCCCGGTTAATTAGGGTAGTAATAAAATAAATTTCGATACTATTAACTTTACTATTTTTATTTATAAAAATATTTTTAACTAGTATACCTATAATAGTAAATACTATTATTATAATAACAATAGTTATATTACTAGTAATTACCTTACTTTTATTAATTATAATACTTAGGGCCCCCAATACAATAAAAGTAAGAAGAATAAAAGTAAGGGCCGTAGTAAAGGCCGTTATAATAGAAAGGAAGTCCGCGGTATTAAGGCTACGCCCGTTACTACCCCCGCTACTCCCGCTATAACCCCCGCCGCCGCCGCTACTAGTAGCGAATATTATAATAAACTAAAAAATGCTTAACTTCTATACCTAATCGTATATAAAAGCCCTTCCGGTTATTATTATAAAAATAAATTTCAAACTCTTCGGAATTAGAAGGTTTAAAAAAGGTTAGAATATAATT